AAAATTTGGATAGTGTGTACATCTTAGTGATGCGCATCAAAAATATGAAAAAAATAATTCTCAAAATATAAATTGATCAAAATATCCCTGATTTATATTTTACGATTTTTTTTTCATATTTTTATTAGGTGAGCCTCACTAAGATGTACACACGCTCTAAATTTCAGATCATTCCGATTAGTAAAAAAAAAAAAAAAATTGAAACATTATCAGACAACTGTGACCGTACGATGAAGTTTGGATGGTGAGGCGAAATCACTGTTCATTTTATCCTATAGGCGTTTTGTAGTATCTTCTATATATGTATAAACTCTGCACACTTTTGGTCCAATACTTTTGTTCTTTAATTAAATTTCTAGTACATGAGAAATTATTCTAGTTTTTAATTTTTCTTTAATTTCAAGAATTGTATATTTTAATTTTAGTTTTAGGATTTACTTCTTACATTTTTTAATTTTTATTTACTATTCATAGGTATTGTTTACTCGTACCGTTAGTGTATTACTGTTCATGTGTTACTATTCATAAAGGGTATTTCTAAAATTTTATTGTTATTTGTGGGTATTTTAAAGTCTTAAATGTTTACCTGTTTCTAAGTTAATATTTGGGTTTCATGACTTACAAAAAGTAGGATTTCAAATTTAGGGATGACTTTTGGTGAATGAAATAAAATTTTATGAGAGAGAGAGTGTTCTCTTTGTTTTTTCTATGTTTTTTTATTGCATCAAATTAGTATCAGAACAGTTCGATGACGGCTCGAGATTGCAATGGATGGTCATGGAAGTATTAACTAAAAGATACTGATCAGATCTGATTATGCAAGGAAATCAACAACTTGACGATAAAAGTGACATGGTGGTTGCACAAATGAGAACATCAATAAAGTGCACTAATAAAAAAGGAGTCTACGTGGATAGATCCTCTTGAGGCTTTTTATGGAGCATGATGTGAATCAACCCTGACTCACAATTATGGCGCTGTTTGGTCAGACACAATTGTTGAGAACCCGTTCTAAGCCACACGCTTTGCATTGGGAACCTCATGTTCAGGACAGTACATCTTGAAATTTCAATATTAAAGTTGATATACCTGAGTTTGATGCAAAACTAGTTGAAGATGAAGAACAAGTAAATTTGGATCTTCAATTGAAATCATTATCCCTTGTTGCCATGGGTGGCTGCATTTTTTATAAAGGTCCTATATTTAATGGAGAATAAGATGAAAAGAAGAAGTTAACCTTGAGACAACAAATATATCTTACTTTCTCATCCATGGAGAGATGGAGAAACAAGATGTTGACCCTAACCCAAAGGAGATCAAGCCTATTGAAAATTTAGGACAAAAAACGAATAAGGTGATGAAGGAGGCAGAAAGCATAGAGGCTAGAAATACAATATACGAGGATTTTGAGAATATGATCAAGAATTTAAAAAAACTGCATGGATGCTCATGATGTTGATGCATCTTATTTCATTGATAAAAACGATTGATGATGAACACATATTCTATCGCAGTTGTGTATATAGAGATGAAAATGTTTAAATGTTGTTATAAGGATCGTGAGAAGGCCTTCATAGTTGAAGAAGATCATAGGTTTAATGCATAATTCATCCTAGCTCTTTTTAAAACTCGAGGACGAGTTTTCTGCAATCCGGGAAGAATGATGGAAGACGAAGTTATTCTAATCTTCAATTTTTGTTTTATTTCAAGAGTTGTATATTTTAATTTTAGTTTTATGATTTACTTTTATGGGTTTTGACTTTCTAAGGGTTCTAAGTTTTTTATTTTTTTAATTTTTTATTTACTATTCATGTTATTGTTCATTGGTACTGTTCATGCATTAGTGTTCACATGTTGTTCATAGTGATATTTTTTAAATTTCAGTATAGTTTAGGGGTGCTTCAAAGTTTTTTAATATTTATTTGGGTCTCGAGTTAATTTTAGGGTTTCTTGAGTTTATAAAATGTTGGAATTCAAATTTTGGTATGCTTTTGGTAAATGAAATAAAATTTTATCATAGAAAAAGAGAGAGAGTTTACTTTGTTTTTCATGTTGGTTTCTTTTTTTTGTTTTTTTGCTGCATCAGGTGCCTATTATTGCCGAGAAACGATAACATTTATACCGGTGAATTTTTACTAACCACACCTAAGCATGTATTGTAGTCCATCTTGGAAAAACCGGGATATCTAACTGGTGACTGCTCTGTTTGATCAGAACCGGCTACTGTTCCGGGTTAGGGTGGTTTTGGTGATCAATTGGTATTTTAAAAAAAATTCAAAAAAATATATATAAAATCCTAAAAATAAGGAATTTGATTTGTAATACATATATTTTTTAATATTCTTTACATTATGGTAAAGATTAAAAATTGTTTTGGTCACTAATACTCGCTTTTATATTTTTTCATTTTTTTCAAATTTTTTTAAAATACCCCAAGGCACCTTTAAAATCCATTTTTTTCATTACTTTTCAACTTCATTTGAGTGCGTTTTGTTTTAATCATTCTTTATATGCTTTTCATATTTTAGTAGATTTTTTTTTGTATTCTTTTTATTTTTTCTACAATTTTTTGACTGCACCGGGACTTGTTCAATTAGAACAGTTGAATTGACCAGTTTACTGGTTAGGCCGGTTAAACAGCTTTTGGTCCCATGTCCAGTTAACCGTTCTGGTTCGATTTTGCGAACATTGATTGTAATTGTCTAACTTCAATTTAAAGTGCTTGGCACAATAAACTAATGCAAAATAATTTACTGAAATGGTCCTTTAAATCTTGTTTAACACTCAACTTTGATGTTAAAACTCAAAGAGATTACAGTGAGATTCACTTACAGCATCCTATAGATACTTTTACTTCGCTTGAAAAGGCCTGGTAATCGGGTTGGTAAACCCATTCGCCCAGTGGGTTGACGGGTTCAGGTTCAACTTTTAGACCCATTCGGTCAGATATGGGTCGAGAAGTATGGTCTTAACTGCCATCTCAGGCTGGGTCTTGGTCCAGCCAGGAGATAATCGGATTGGGTTGTGTCTGGGTTAAACCATAGACCATATAGGTTTGGGCAGGACTTAGACGCGACCCACCCTCGTTACAAGAAGTCTCTTTCTGAAAATGGTTCTAACCGTCCTGAACTTTGTTTATGGTATACTCTCCCTCTCTCATATGTGTTTTTGGCAGATGCATAAGTTTTCAATAGTAAGAATCTTTCTATTTTGATGCTCCAAAGTTCTATGATAGTTTTCAATAGTAAGAATCTTTTGATTAGAGAATGGAATATTTCTCCTTAATATTTTGACCAGGGAGAAAAGGGCGGTACATTGGGTTCCAGGTCATGTTGGGAGTCGGTTGGGTGATACAGGGGCAAAAAGATAGTAAAAATTAAGAAAGTATAGCTTGAATCATTCTCATTTTCAAACACGCAGGAGCGTTAACTCGAAACGATATTTATCCCTCTTCGATACTGTAAATTATATGCACAAGGAAAGACATTGGTCCTCGGGATACATGAAATAAAAAAGGCCTCTCCAAAGCTCTATGCCAATAGGTTTATGGTTTACTCTCTCATTTGTGAGTTCAGATGCACGTCAAGTACTAATCATGAAGAATGATTTCAACAAAAAAATTCTAAACCACAGGCAATAGCATACCAGCATTAGAGCTTGTCATAACAAAAGAAGCACTCATAGTTCCCTTAAAAGTAAATACCAAAAGGGTGATTTCATGGGCATTTGGATTCTTTAAGGTTGCTCAGGATGCAGGTTAAATTGCATTAATTGTATCGCCTGGTTAAAGAATGTTGGTAAGTAGGTTGCATTCTGCCAGTGACCTTACAGATCGGAAGGTATTGAAAATACCACTCCTAGCCCCTATTTTACTTTGTAGGGTTGGCAACAGGTTGGGTCGGACCCAAAACCAGACCCAAATGGTGTTCGGGTCCCATACCCGGACCTGAGTCGGGTCCCAGGTCAGGTCCAAGTCCATTGCCACCTATAAGTACAAAATGAATAGACCTCATAAGAACCTTATCTTTCATATCGTACAATTTCCAGTAAAGCGCGGGTATTAGGGGAAGAGCAGGAGGCTGTTGGCAAAGAAACCTTTTCAGCCCTGGTTGAAACCTTTAGACAGCTAAAGAGATTCTTGTCAAATTCATGGAACATCCAGTTCACAAAGTAAGAACTTAGATCCAATTGAGTCAAAATTGCTGTTTATTGGGAAGCAGCTCGATTATTTGTGAAACCCACAAAAAGTAAACAAGGGAAATTTATCAAATTACCAAAATCGAAGATAGACAAACCAAACCCAATAGTTGGGAGCAAATTCGGATGATGACGACCCATAAAAGACAAACAATTTAACACTTTATCTATATCTTTTGATTTAATGCCAAAATACCCTTAGAAAAACACATGGTCTGGAACAGTTGCAAACAGGTAAAATCTGAAATACTTCCAAGTATTGTGACAAATTTCCAAAAAAATGATGCAATCGCCACTTCAAAGCTTTTTTGCCAAAATATGTTGTCCAATAGTAATGTGGTATAATACCATATGCTGGGGAGTATGTGTTCCATTACTAACATATAATGCAAAATATGTAAGTTGAGGAAAAAAAAACTGCCCATAGGTTTATCAACAGGGCACACAAATCGTTGGAATTTAATTTTCAAAATGGAAACGAGTCTCCAATTGACACATTTTCCCCGAAGATGTACATCTATATACACTTCTATAAGTAAAACAGAACCAGACTAACCAAAATACAATGGAGAATATATACACAGCAGCAAAAGTGTATAGCTGACAGGTGATGAATCCATCTTGCCTGCCACAAGACACGGAGCTGTAATGGTGCATCATTCCATCTGTGTATACAGCCCACAACATGCCTCATCATGAGTTCCTGACCGTTGGATTGGAGAAGCTCCAGGTTCTTTTGAACTGCTATGTTCCCAGTTCGATTGCGGGGAGGTATTTTAGTACTTCAGCTTAAATCAAATCCGGCATCCGCATTGATTGCATAAATTAACTTCGTTTCCAGTTTCTCTTTGCTGTGCAAGGACATTGTCTCCAAGTTATCAAGCAATGCAAAAGAAAGGCAGCACATCGCTATACACTATTTAAAGTGTTGGAATCAGTGAATGAAGAAAAAGGTGGCCATCATTTGTGATGCATATGAACAGCCCTCTCTCTCTCTCTCTCTCTCTCCTCATTTGCTTATGCGTAGCTACATCTCCCTCTCAGACATGCACACACTCACACATGCACACAAGTTTTTACAGACCACACACTTTTGTACCACACACACACAAATGGGAGCACTTAGTCAATCAACTTTATCAATTTTCAGAAACAAATATTGTCTAGAGTTGAATTTTTATGAAAATCACCAAGATCCAACATGCGCATTAACATAGGTCTTGATAGGTCTCTCCCTCTTTCTCTCTCTCATGCACACACACACAATGGCACATACGCACACACACACACATAGGAAGTTGACCAATATTTGCAAAGCCTTCTCGAGGTCTGAAGTGTCAATTTTGATAATGCATAAAATCACAGCCCAGCAATCATTTGGACATCCATCAATATAGTCATTCTCTCTCAAGCACAAATAGAAAGAGTAGAACACAAACTCGCACATGTATGCGTGTTTCTTTTACATATAGAATACCATGTAAACCCACGTAAGCAGTAGGATTAAAAGATATACCTCTTGTATGGAGGGAGCTTCAAAAGATTCATACAGGTTGCAGATGTTGGCAAACGATCAAGATCATATTCAGAAGCATGGTCCGGAGCAGCCCTGAAGTATGAACCAAGAGAATAACTAATACAATATACTACTCTATCTGGAATCTCCAATAACCATTATTGCATTGACATGATTTCATAAAGAGAAAAAAGAGAAGGGGGGAAAAAAAAATCAAACCTTTGAACGCAGAACTGAGGTTCCAAGTACTTGAATCCAAGCAGTGGTCCTCGAGAGCATCCAGTGACAAACCTGTAATTATAACATCTGCTCAGTCCATCTATTTCGTGCATATCACACAAGTTCGTAACTTTTTTTTTTTTTTGAGAATGTTAACAGTGACAAGTATATGACTTTGATAAGGTTATATTTTTTGGATAAGTAACTTTGAAAAGGTAACTTTTAAGACCATCCTGTGGGAAAGACAGATGACACGCTCGAATTGTGAGTAATGAGTGTGAGGGATATGATTGATCTTCTCGACATTACTACACACAAGTTGGCAATTTGTTACAGATAGCAGATCACAATTGTGATGCCACATTTGGAGAGGCGATGAGAGCAAATATTTCGAGAGCTTTTTCAAAGATTCTTCAGAGGATAGATCAGATGATAGCTTCGAATGGCTTCACTATACATTTAGTGGTCCTCTTAACAACCGGACATGGATAACCTGATTTTGGTTCGTAACGGAGAAGTTTGGTTTCAATGAGGCAAATATGCTCGGTCATTTGATCAGAAACGATTTATGATCATGGTGACAGATTACACAGTATGTGTGGTTATTTGATCAAAAAACAATGTAAGATTTTGTGAAAGGCTACACTGTTAGAGAGGCACACATGGGTTTTATTGAGCATATAATTGATGAAAAGCGATAAGAAGGAAAACAATTATGATGTTATAGCTGTGAAAAGAACTAGGAGCTTAAGATACCAAAGTAATAACCATGATGTGAGCATAAATCTACTAGTACTGCAAATAGACTAGTTCCATGGAAAAATATATACAACACTGAAACAGTATAAGTAAAAGGAGCTAGCAAGTAATTTGAGGTACATATGCAGGGACAAATAAAGAGAAACAGTAGTGAAACCAGAAAACTTACTTCAAAAACTTATTCTGATGGTCTGAAGAAAAGTTCTTGACAACCTCCCAAAACATCTCAATGACAGGATGTTTCTGTTGATGTAAAGAAGTGTAAAATATTTGATGAACTTACATAACAAAAGGGAAAAAATCATAAATGACTAATGGCAATGATGGAGAAATTGTTTTTTGAAGTAACAATTCTCCAGCAAGAATCTAATAAACTTCTGTGATGGGGCATATTTAAAAGCATAACAAGGGATCTCCACCGAAAGTAGTATGACAATTACCAACATAAGAAAACAAAACAGTAAAATAGACGCTTTTGCACCAAATGCAGATCAGATCATTGTGATTTGTGAAAGTTATTGTTCAAACAAAATGAATAACAAAACATACACAGAGAATGGGACATGGTCATAAGCAGCAGTCGCAGCTTGTCATGCCAGCAAAGGGTGTGATAATCTCAGAAGCTATACAACACTTATAGATGCAGCTGATAGAGGGTGTCTTCAAGTTCCATAGATGCCTTTCCAAGAGCTGAGAACTCTTGGAGACTGACAAATGTTTTACAAAGATTTACATCAAGTAAAATGATGACTTCGATAAAACTATGTTTGTATTCTCAGGAAGATGCAGGCCTCGTTTTTTTCCTCCCTTACTTCAACCCATTGAGATGCTTCAATCGATTCACGCGTTTGTCAGTCTGAAGTTACATTTGCTGGTGTCTGCTCATCCACTAATGAACAAGATGCATTATAATATATTGTTTCTTTGCCACGTTGTATGTCTTCATATGTTAACGATACAAGGGCATCTTGCAGATTCCGACTCTCTGTACATTGCACACTTTTTTAAGGAACAGAAACTCCATTCTCTTGGCTTGAAGAGCATCACTGCAGGAATGAAGGCAACATTTTGATGAACCATTTATTAACAAATACGCCCCATGACTTCCTGGCCTCATTCAGGATAGTGAGAAGAAACAGTTTGGCCCCCTTTGCTATTCAACACATGAGCCTCTCTATCTTATAATATATATTAAAAGTAAAAACAACAACCAGTTTTCACTAATTTCTGAATAAGTCCATTCTTTCATGGAATTATGTTCAGACCAAATGGGGCCTTATATGGCGGGAACATTTCAGGAAGCAGTAGTATCACTACTTTGTGGGAGAGATGTCACAAATAAACAACTCCCATATTTTATGAAGGACAGACATCAAAAAAACTTCTGTCAAAGCACATATTCCACCGAAGGGGAAATTCTTTGTCACCAAGGAAGGCAGAAACATGCTTCTGAATTACGGTGAACAATTTACTTCTCGAGTTTCACATGGTAAACAAGATTATTTGTAATTTTCCTTCATTTTCTCCTAAACATTCTGTATGCCAACAATGCTTAAAAAGCGAACAACACTCTCAAACTATTAAAGTACCCCAGTTTGCTGTTTTGCACATGATCCTCTTAATGTTTCTGAAGTTCAACCTACTCCCCTTCATGTTCGTGTTAACTTCGGTTGTGTTGATGAACTTCATACCTGGAAGACAAATAAGACGAAACAAGAGAGAGAGAGAGAGAGAGAGAGAGAGAGAGAGAGAGAGAGAGAGAGAGAGAGAGAGAGAGAGAGAGAGAGAGAGAGAGAGAGAGAGAGAGAGAGAGAGAGAGAGAGAGAGAGAGAGAGAGAGAGAGAGAGAGAGAGAGAGAGAGAGAGAGAGAGAGAGAGAGAGAGAGAGGAGAGAGAGAGAGTGAGAGTAGAGTAGACGTAGNGAAGAGAGTAGAGAGAGAGAGTAGAGAGAGAGAGAGTAGAGAGAGAGAGAGAGA